GACATGTATTATCAAGTTGATTATCTAATGCAGAATATCTTGATGGATACAAATCAGATATCAATTGAACAGTTGATTAGTTGTAAATTATTTTTTAGTATAAATGAAAGGACGTGTTGGTCTTATAYCTCGCACATTGAAAATTCAAATATTTATATGAGTTAAAAGTAAAATTTTATTAACTTTTGGTTTGAAATTTGATTTTGATGTAACAAAATTTTCAGGAATGTATTTTTGTTTTGATAAATAAAGTTGAAAATGAATTCTATCATTCAAAAAAGTGAGAAAAAAATTATAACGAAAATAYATTTTGTTTTGTATATTGACTTAAGATTATGTTCCAACAAGTTAATACTTTCGATAAATATAAGTGTTGACCTGTTAAAATAATGACACCGTGTAGGTACTCGTATATTCGTATAATCATATTATATATTACACACTGAAGAYATTTTAATATTATATTTTGTAGTTTATTTTTATTGAATCAAATTTAAAATGCATTTCCATTAGGTATTCAAATAATTAGGTTTTCGAATAATCTACAATTGTTCTACGATTATTGGATGAAAGACATTTTTAATCGAAAATTACTTATTTACTTTCCAAGGAAAATGTTTTTATTTTTATTTTGTTATGTATATAGGTACGTTGTGGAATTTGTCAAATCTAAGGATAAAACACGCCCAGTTACTGCCGCTCTGAATAAATGGTACAGCATTGACAGGGCGGTAAGTAATTATAATTATTAATTATCAATTTCTATCATTATTCTATTTACAATGTAMATGTCTGTTGTAGTGTTGTATTGTGTTCAATGTTATTGCAAAGAGCATTACTTTGCACTGGTGCTTTAATTTCGTCTTAGCTTATGTTTAATTTTTTTTATTATAATATGTTCAGGATAACACAATATCTTAACGTTGCTATAGCTTTTAAAATAGGTACCTTCTAAAAATACACTTCACCTATATAAGTAATTGAAGTTTCACAACACATTACACACAACACATTTTTAACACTGCACACAATATACCTTAAAGGAGTGGTGTTTTTGTAGGTATACATCGTATACTTGGTGAATTAGCGTAGCTATACCTTTAGAAAAATAATTTGAATTAGCACGCCATATATGCTCATGCACATTTTTAAAAATCTAGCAATTTTTATTCATTTAAAATTTTTTATTGCCATATAACATTTATGMATCATCTATAATTATTTATAATTAGAAACATGTAACAAATAATTCAGATTAGTTATTATCAAGCGTAAACAAGAATAGAATATACGATGRTACATTCAGTTCATGAACACGATTATTACAGTTTTTTGTTTTTTACTAATATTTGAGTTTCCACCATCACAGAGCAATAAGAATCACCAAAACAATAAACTATTAAGTTAAATTGTTATAAGAATATAAAATGCTATGAATCTAGCTCATAAAATAGTAATATATAAAACGTACAAAATTGAATTATAATAAATGCATTTTTGTAAATTTAATTGACGTGGGTATCGTATATGCAGTAAGAACTACACTAAATATTTGTTCAGGTGCGATACGAGTTGCTTTTTGATAACTTGGATTTAATTAGTTTTCTTCTTAMAAAATCAGAATGTTTTGTATTTGCAAAATGATAAATTCATAAATGAGCGTATATATTCGTACATTATAGTCTTTAGTTTCATTTTTTTTTTTACAAAAACACCACTGTGGCTTTTAGGTATATCAGTTATTATGGCTGTAAACCTATTTCTTGTCAACTGTTTTTATGTAAGTTCTTGAGTATATGTGCTTTTGTTTATAGATCTATAGCTATTTTTGTCAAAACCTTAGACGGTTTGCGGCCCATAACAGCAGCTATTGCGACACAATTTGATACTGACCAACTGGTGAGTGGAAACACTATGGTCGAAATTCTTCGTGCTATCTTTTCTTTTACGCTTAAAAAATAGAACACTTTTATTTCTATATGCTTCTTTTCGTTATGATTTCTAGTATCTAACAGCAGTTATTTATAGGGGCAACACTTAGACATCATCGGCTTCAATAGGTACTATGGCTGGTACACATTACCTGGTCATACAGAGATCATCAAGAGCCGGCTAGAAGATGAAGCCACCAAATGGCACACCAAACACAACAAGCCGGTTTTCATGACGGAATACGGTGCTGACACGTATGCCGGTTTACATATGGTAGGTCGAAAGTCGTAACTCATGAGTAACCTAATATTATTCAATGATATTCATCTGTAGTAAAATAACTTTTTTACGATATTATAAATGTTGCTGTTTTTATTTGTTTTAATAGAATCCTTCGTTTGTTTGGTCTGAAGAATATCAAGTAGAACTGTTGTCCGAACATTTCAAAGCATTCGACGTACTCCGAAGTAAAAACTTCTTCATCGGTGAAATGATATGGAATTTTGCGGACTTCAAAACCGGTCAATGTAAGTTGATTAATACTTTTATGTTAACCCTTGGCAACATGTAAAATATTGCGAAACATTCTTGATTTATTATCTGTTTGCTTTTTTTTATCAATCACTTGGAGTTCACAGTTGATATAGGTACCTAGTGTTCTGTTTTTTTTTTAAATTTTTTTACTGATCAAAAATTTAAGCATAATAATAATAATGAGATTGTAACCATATCCGTAATAGTCCAAGTATATACATTTTGATATTTGAATCTAAAAACAATAAGTAATTATATAAATACAGTGTGTACATTTATTTTAATATATTTTGTATTTTTAATCGTT